ATCAATGTTCCCATTTTAAAATGAGAAAACTGAGGTCCAGAAAAACAGTCAGAGTTGAACCTGTGATAGAGGTAATTATTTGATTTAGGGCCGTCTGACCGCTCATGTGACCCAGCTGCCCCACGTGACTCTCGGCTCTTCTCACGCTCAGAAAGCCCCTTGGGTTGTAGGTATCCAGGTGCAGCTGCTGAATCAAAGGCTTAAGAGCCTTTTCATATTTTTATTATCCAGACACCCTCAGGACCTACTCTACAGCCACACCGGCAGAGAGGACTCAGTACCCCTGGGACTTTAGGTAACCGCCAGCCCAGAGTAGGATAAAATCCAAACCTGCTGCCACCGAGATGTTCACAGCACACCGCAGAACTGTTCCTAGTGTTTCTGGGACTGTAAACCTTTACAGAAGCAGACAACCTCTTTTTTTTTTCTTCCACAAAAGGGCTGGTGGGTTTGAACCGCCAGCCTGGTGATTAGCAGCTCGGTTCTTAGCCCACAACATCGCTAGAGCTCCTTGAATAGGGTTGACTCTGATAGAAATGGATTCAAATCCCAGGATCTGTCATGGACTAACTGGACAATTTAAGCAATAGCCTTGCCATCGACAAGCCTCACCTGAGGTGGTCCCAGCTTAGTGGGTCTTGACCCTGGCTGAAAGTGACAAATAGCTGCAGAGGTCAGATGATAAGATGGCTGTCGTTGTTGTTGTTAGGTGCCATCGAGTCGGTACCCACCCTGTGCACAGCAGAACAAAACACTGTCCGATCCTGGGCCAACCTCACTATTGTTGCCACGCTTGAGTCCATCGATGCTGCCACTTGGTTAATCCATCTCATTGGGGGTCTTCCTGATTTTCTCTGACCCTCAACCTTCGTCCCAAAATAATAGGAGTGAGCTGAGTGAGAGGGCCCCGAGATAACAACATCGACCACTGAATGGATGGTTGTTGAGGCTTGGTGATGGGTTCCGGGGGTCCGTTACACTCTTCTCTTCTCTTCCTTGTGTGTTTGGAAATATCCATAATGAAAAAATAAAATAATAACAATAAGACAGAGGCCTTAAAAACATAACTGTCTACCCCCTCTTACCCAGTTGAAAAAAAAAAAACAAGTCTGATTCTCAGGTTTCTAAATTTCCTCAGGTGAGAAAAGCTAAGGAGAGACACTCCTGCGCATACTCCGTCGTCTATGAAGCCCATCATCCACTGAGCCTCTCTCTCTGTACACTGGAGGTAAGCTTTCTAAAACCCTCACGAATTGCTCTGAAGTTTAATTGGGACGCTGCAGCATGACAGGGCATAGCAGTGTGACAGTCATTCTGAGCAAGGTCGGACCTCTCATCCAGGTAAGTGAGGAGCCCTGAACCAGTTTGTGCAACAGAGACCTGAAAATGGTCTCCCAGGGTCAGGCCACGCCCTTGGGAAAGCTTTTACACATTTTCCAAAGCACAGGGAATATATCAACCGGAAGGGCTTTGTCATCTGTCTTCCTCCACTTGTCTCACCTTCCCTTCTTTGGTCTGCGTGTGTGTGAGTTAACGTGTGTGCCACCCATACGCAAATGTGCCTGGATATGAGCAGGTAAACGATTTCTGTCAACTCGTTGCTGTCTAGTTGATACCAACTCATAACGACTCTACAAGACAAGAGTAACAGCCTACAACAAATCTTTCCAGGGGCAGACTGTCACATCGGTCTCCCGTGGAGTGGTGGGTGGGTTCGAACTGCTAACCTTTCATCTAGCAGCTGAGTGTGAAAGAGAAGGTAAATGTGTGCAAGCTCATGGCTGCCCTGACTCCGTGTTATTGACAAGTTCCTGTTTTTTTGTGTGTTGGGTGTGCACACCTGGGCTACACAGGCTTGTGGCAGACATGTGACAAGCTGTCCCTGAGATTTATGTCCCTGATTTGCATTCATTGAGTCACTCAGCACACTGTGTCACCAGCAGAGGGACAGGTAAGGGTGACAGAGGGGCAGGCCTGTGCTGTCTTCGCTGGCCTTGCCTCGGACTACCAGGACTGAGCCTCGGTTTCTCCATCTGTGTAAAGACCAGACTGTTCTTGGCAAGGGAGATCCCGAACACAACAGTTGCCGAATGGGCAATGTCCTATGCAGAACAATTCCATGTGTTTCAGAGGAGAAATTTAGGACTTCAAATAGGAGTCCTGGTGTGGCGCTATAGGATAAGCACTGGGCCGCAAGGTTGGTTTGGACCGCAAGGTCAGCGGTTCAAACTCACTAGCCGCTCCTCCAAAACCCTACATAGGGTCGCTATCAGTCGGAACCGACCCGACAACACTTAACAATAACAATGCTGTATAGGGTTTTCAATGGCCGTGATCTTTCGGAAATAAATCGCAAAGTTTTTCGTGTGAGGTTGCCAATCTTGCTGTTAGTAGCGGAGCTCCTAACTGTGCCACCCAGGAATTTCTTGTTTAGCTAGGGACTAAACAGAGAGTGAAGGAGGGAATGAATGTATAAATGTATGGGGACCACATCAGTACGGCAGATAAGGTGACCTGCTGGACCTTCCAGTCTGGAGAGGGGCCCAGGACGTCTAGACCCACTCCTCTGAAATACTGGGAAATAGCGAGGGAGAAGCAGGGGCGGCGGTTTGCTGAGGGAGAGAAGCAAGGAGCCGCAGACACCGCCCCCTAAAGCCCAACGAAGGTGGAGGCGACAGGTCTGCGAATCACCACTAAGCCCTGCAGCCTGCTTTCAGCTCTGGCTCCGCGGGCTCCACAGCGCCGCCTGGCGGACACGGTGCGCTCCGCTCGGCCTCCCGCGGCCCCCGGCCAGTGCGCAGGGAATCACGCGGCTGTGCAGGAAAAAGCGCGAGAGAGTCCGGAGCCCAGGCACTGGGAGGGGCGTTTGTCCTTGGGATGAGGCCTGATCTCCCGCAAACACGGACACCCTCTTTTCAGTAACCCTGCGCCCAGGGTGACTCGCTACGTCCAAAACATCCAGGCGCCCTTTCTCTGCCGAACCCCTGATTTCCACAACTCTGGAATTTTGCTGCTTCTGCTTAGTTCCTCCAGGAAGCGGATCGTATTAAAAACCCCGGGGGTTTTGTTTTCATGTTGACGAATGGGGCGTGCGTGAAGGCCCAGACATCCCCAATTCGCTTCCCTGCGGGTCTCAGGGCTGAATCCTAGGGTGGAGGAATTTCTGAACCTTTCCTCATCCGAGTGGGACCTGGTGGGCCAGATGTAGTGGCTCGGGAACCCTTGTCCGAGGCAAAGGAGAGTAAAATCTGCTCAGGGTCCAAGTGTCCAAAGGCGTGTAGCGGGTGCTAGTGAGCAGAGTCTCAGGCACTGGGGTCACTCGCCCCTTGACCTTCGCGAATTTCGTCCCCTCCCACCTGGTCTGTTACAGTGTGACCAGGCGCCTAGCCGTCAGGCATTCTCGAGTAGCTAGGCCCAGCCTGGCCTACAACAGCCTGCTGGTAACACAAGAGTGGCAGTGGGGTTGTGGCGTCCTGGGACGCCGCCTGCGGGAGTCCTCACTAGCTCCCATTCCCGGCGTCTGGGGCGTCGAGGTGTCAGGGTCGACACGCGAGGCTGCCCCCTCCGGGGAGGCGGTGGCGGAGCGCAAGTCTCTACCAAATCCGCTCTGGGCGGCAGCCTGGGAGTCCCTGCGGCGTCCGGGAGGTGTCTAGGGAGAAGGCTCCTTAGCCGTCAGGCTGGCCTTGGGAGGAAGGTGGAAAAATCTCAAAGTCACCAAGCCCCGTGCAAATGGCGGCCAGGGCTGCGCGGTTGTCCCAGGCCCCAGGCGGGAGGCCGAGTGAGCGTTCGTGAGCCAACCCTCCCCGGGGGCGCGGAGGGAAGCCCGGGGTTCGGAGAACCCAATGCGGTCTGGCCCTGGGGAGAGGGTAGTTTGGGGTTCGCGCTGAGAAATGGCCCAGTGATCCTACGAAAGGCACGCTCTGAGCCCAGAGCTCCCGCGGACCCGGGACTGCGAGCCCCCAGGGCTGATGTGTTTGTGCGGGAGGAAGGGGAGCGTGGTAAACGGACCTTAGATAGCTTGCCCCCACCCTCCGCCAAGAAAAAAGATGAGAGCCTTTTCCTGCGTGGTACTATAGGCGCGGCGTGAAAACCAAAGTTAGGAAGAAGGAGCGGCGTGCAAAGCCTACGTTTGCAGAGAGGAGCTCGCAGCCCAGAACAGTACTCGGCGCCCAATGAGGCCAAATGGGCGTCATGACCCTCCTCAGGGTCGCATTTGAAAGGTCTTCCCGGTCCGGTGCTCTGGCACACTCTCCCGCGGTGCGGATCTGGAGAGAGCACCCGCCGAGGAGAAAACCGGAGAGGGAAAAGCAGCCACGCGGCGGGTCACCGCGGGTCCAGACTGGAGGGATGTGAGAGGGGGTGTAGCCCCGAGTCAGGCTGGCGGTGGCATCCTCCGGCACTTGGCTGCCAGAAGAAAAGGAGAGAGAATTCTTTTCGCCCCAAGGGACAGAGAAAGTTCAGGCGCGCTCTTCCCAGATGCCGGGAAACAGGTTCCCCAAGAGCCCCTCTGCCCCCAAGTCAAGCCAGACTGCCCACCCAAGGCAGTGGATGCTTAGGAAGAGAGGGAAAGCGGGTAGCGGAGGCCCGAGCGGCGAGTCCTGGCCTGTTTCGCACAAAACGAAACCCAATCGTCCAAAAATCTCAAGGGAGAAATTAAAACAAAATAAAAAATCTCTTATTTCCCCCTTTCACTTTGAACAACACGGCTGCTGGGAGAAAAAATAAAAACGAAATAAGCAATAATTCCCAAATTGTAAAATTTCCTTAAAAAACACACACACACCAAACCTAAAAAACTATTTTCCCCAAGGTCTGTCCCACGGCAGCTGTCTCTCCTGAAGCCTGTGTGTCCCTTCCAGAAATCTCAAGAAAACGATCGTAAATGCGGCCACAGTCCTGGGAAGAAGTAGACCTGTGGACCGGGGAACCCAGTGCCGAAATTGTCATACTCTTCTCCCTCTTTATGCAAAAAATTAAAAAAAAAAAAAGAAGTAAAACCCTTTTAATACATCAAATATACGGAATTTTAATCTTTAAAGCGATACATTATTTTAGTACATGACGTAAACCTTACTTGTCCCCTTCTCAGCGGGTGGACTTAAAAATTAAAAAGAGTTAAGTGTTCCTTTTAAAGAACAAAATAAGGCAAATGAGGTTTTGGAACAGAATTGTTTTTTCTTTTTTTTTTTTTTTTTTGTTGTTTTCTTCCAGAATACATACAAAAAAATACCCATTCTCTTTCGATGGTATATACCTTAAAAATAATTGCAATTTGAAATCAGAGCTGACAAATTGACTTGTTTTGTTTTGTTTTTTTCATTTTTTTTGTAACAAACATGCATGTAAATTTGTGTTTCATTAGACATTAAATAAGAATGGTACAATACAATCATAGCAATTTTAAAGTAACATTAAAGAGAAGACCTCTAGTTCTGGGGTGGTTTTGTTTTTATTTATAATCTACAAGGGACGGGAGGGCTTGTTTTCCACATCTTTACCCTCAAAGTTTCAATATTTTTTCCCTCTTCCTTTTTACCTACGGAGCTCAAACTAAATAATGCACTTTTGAACCACGGGTCCGCTTGGAGCTAACATAAATAAATACCAGTGTTCACCGACGCAGTCCTAAGGTGAACACTTTTTCAATTTTTTTTTTCCTATAAAAAGTCAAATGATATTGTTTTCAACTTTTATAAAGTTTGAGTGGGGAGGTAAGGGGTGGGGGGAAAGGGGAGTTTCCCACCGGGTCTTGATTCACTGTTTTCGGATAGATAAAGGTATATAATTTTTTTCTTTTCTTTTCATGACCCGGGTCTTCCTCATGAACGGGTGTCTGCAGCTTCGACCTTGTTCCCACCCCTCCCCAGAATTTCATCCCCTCTCTCGGCTCCTCCTTTCTCTTAAACTCCTTTCTCTCCTAGTTAGCCCTCCAGCCAGCCTTCACTGATAGCCCAGTGCTGAGGCAGTGGTCAGTCTCTGTCCGTAGAGGGCATAGGGGGAGTAGTAGGGTCCGGTGGCGGCGGGCACTGGCACCGGGGCGCCGGGCGTGGGGAGCGGGCTCTTGGAGTAGGGATGGTATCTGCTGCTGAGTCCCAGCGCATGGTGAGGGCTTCGAAGCGCCAGCGTCCCAGGACTGCCCGGCGCGCCCGACGTAGGGATATGCATATGGCAAGCCATAGCGGCCGCGGCAGCGCTAGCCAGAGACGACGAGCTAGGGTAGCCCGACAGCAGTTTGTCTGTCCCGGGGAAGGCCGTGTGCGTCCGCAAGTGGCTCAGCAGCTCTTCGGAAGTGGCGAAGCGCTTGTCGCACGGCCCATTGGCTGACACCCAGTTGCAGATGTGGGGAAGCGGGTCGTTAGGAAGCATGAAGCCGTAGGGGTAGAGAGGGTGGCCGGCCAAGGAGGGCGGTGTGGCGCCCGCAGCAGCTGCGGCCGTTAGCGACGAGTGCACACCGTGCAGCGGGTGAGTAGGGTATACCAGGGGGTATCCAGACTTGAGGGCCGCGGCTGCAGCGGCCGGATCGTGAGCGCAGGATGCACTGGCGGCCGCCGCCCCTGCCAGGTGGCTGGCACAGTGGTAGCTGAGGCAGTACGGGTCCCGGCACAAACTGGCTGTCATTACTGAGGGTGGCGAAGCGCCGGCCAAGGGGCTGGAGCCAGCCGGCTTACTGCAGCCGAGAGAGCCAGCGGCAGCCGCCGCCAGCTGAGCCCCCACTAAGCTGCCCGGCTTGGTGGGGTCGAGCGCCACGCCGTGCGGCAGGAACTGGGGCGGGTAACCGGCATAGGCCCCAGCCAGGCTGCCCGGGTAGGTCATGCCTGCGGGAGGCAGAGGAAACACTGTCTGGCCAGGCTTGTAAGGAGACACGGGTGCCACCAACCCAGAGCCCAGCACCGAGGAGGAGGTGGGTGCGCTGGGGCCCGAGCCGGAGCTGGAGCCCGAAGAACCGCCGCAGTCCGAACCTAGAGCCTTGCCCACTGGGCCCCCGTCCGTATGCTGGTTCACATCCACATTAATCCCGCCGCCACAGCTAATCCGGCCGTGCGCCAGTCCCGTGGGACCCCCTTCGGCCGAGGTGCCCCCAGTGCCCTTGCTGCCGCTGCTACCACCCGCATCGGGATCCTTCTTGTCGTCCTTGCCCTCCGGGCCGCCCCCAGCCGACGGCAGCATGCCTCCCGGCGAGCAGGCCGAGGCGCTGGAGCTCGGGCTGCCTGTCCTGGGCGTGAACGGCTGGCAGGTGGCGCTCGGTACTCGGAATCCCGCCTTCTCCGCCGAAACCCCCCCGCCGCCGCCCCCGCCGCCCCCGCCGCCTCCTCCTCCGCCTCCTCCCGGCTCCTTCTTATCCGAACCGGGCTTAGAGTACGGCTTGAAACTCGACTTGTCCTCCACACCGATGTCACTCAGCTTGAGGGGGCCCGATTTGGCGTCCTTGTCGCCCCCGGCACCGCCGCCGGCACCGCCCGCGCCGCCCCCGTTGGAGGCGACTGAGGAAAGTTTGGAGGAAGGCGAGGGGTCAGGCTTTCCGATCTGTGAGCATGTCTGCGCCAATAACGCCAGCGGGCTCTTCTTGGCATCGAGCTGCGGGGGGTCATACGGGGAAGGGGCACAAAGAGAAAGAAGGGGAAACCCTTTAGTATTCTGGCATCTACGGATCAAACGCCCATCCACCAGAGCCCGCAGAAGTTCCTCCCAGCTCCGAGGGGCATGTTTGCCTGCACCCCCTCTCCTCTCGGCCACACACACACTAACATTTTCGCTTTGGGGACCGGCAGGAGACACCACTACCACCACCCCCAACTCAAATTCACGATCTTTCCTGCTCTCTCCAAGCTCTAACTGGATTTACGAAATACAAAATATTTTGGTTTTCAACCCCTAGACCTAGAATTGTACCTATCTATCACACAAACCCCTCAATTCTTCCGAGTATGCTTGGTCAAGTGTGTACCAATAACCAGCTTGCGGGCGGGCGAGCGGAGGATGGGAGACTTTGCCCTCAGTATCTCGGCCTACAGCCCACATTCCCGGCTGCGTGTGAGGACTCTAACAGCAAAGGGAGAAACAAGTTTGGGCCGCCTAGTCCCCATTGAAACTGCATTCCACCTTCTTCCACCCTAATTTTGAGGTGCAGAAGCACTGTCCTACCTACCTCTCCCTCCCCAGCTGAATCACTCCAGCCCCCCCCCTCCCACCGCCGCCCCAGTTCCAGAAAGAAAGAAACCCCGCAGAATGGCAGTCAGGGTACTAGTCCAAGTGTGATTCAGGGAAAGGTCCTTACCTCTATGGGGCTGACCGGCGTGGAAGGTAGGGGCTGAAGGTACTCGGGGTGCAAAATGTGGCCAGTCCGTGCCGTCAGCATCTTCAGCACCTTAATAGGTAGACGGTTGGCCTGGCGCAGGGGGTCGGAGGGGGGCACGGCGTGCACAAAAGGCTTGGTGCTGCCGGCCGAGGAGCCGGGGCCAGAGCTATTTCCAGAGAGCCCGTTGGTCCAAGCTGGGTCCGCACCGCCGCCGCCTCCACCGCTGTGCTTACTGCTTCTTAGGGCAGAAAGCGAGGGCACTGTGCTCATGACCCACCCGCTCGCATGGGAGCAGCGGGGGGAGGGCTCCGGGAGGCGTGGGGCGGGCTCCCGGCTGCGCGCTTGCCGGGGGACCAGGAACAAGAGGAGGAGGAGGAGGAACTGAAGCGGCGGTCACCGGCGCCCAGCGTGCTTTCTCTGCGTCTGGAGATTGAAGCGAATAATCCTAGGTGACCCACAGCGGAACCGTGGCTGGGATGTAGGAGCCGGCTGGATTGCAGGAGCGCAGGGCGGCTCGCTGTGTCTGCCGCGGGCTGCGCCCTTGCGCTGCGCTCTTGCGGCACCGCGCCGGCGCTGCGCTCCACGATGTGAGCCGCTGCCTGTCCAGCCGGGGCTCTGGCGAGGAAACTCACTTCAAAAGCAGCTGCACCGAGGGGGAGATTAAAGCCTTTGCCGCCTTCCAATCAAATGGGAGCCCGAGGTGATTGGAGGGTCAAGGGGATGTGACGCGCCCCGTACTGCTGCCGCCGCCGCCAGGACTCTCAGCGCTGATTTTAATGGGCAGCGCCCTCTTCTCCGCCTCCCTCCCTCCCCGCGTGTCCCCTCCCTCGATTTCACTCCGTGGACTAGAAGGACGTTTATTTTACGTTTGCCATTCGCCGCCTCCCTCTTTTTTTCCTCCTCGTCGTCCTTCCTTTCCCCAGCTCGCAAACAAACTGAAATCTTTTGAAGGGGGGTGCATCTGAGGAACAGACTGCGGGAGTATCCAGAAAGAGCATGGCGAAAGAGTGGACCCCGCCAATGTTCCAAGGTCGCGCAGGGTGCCCTCGCACCAACTGTTCCCTCCTCAGCAATTGAAATCCCGCGCGGTGCGGCCGCCAGGGTAAGAAAAGGTGGGGTGCTGGAGGAAGTACGCCCGCCCGCTTAGATTTCCCGAGACTTGGTGGCAGAGAAACCAGAAGCTAGGTGGGCAGCGGCGGCAGTGGATGTTCATCCTGGCGTAGTGCACTCGGTTCCCCGCCCTTCCCAGCCACGTGACGGCCGGAGAAGCTCAGATTGGGGCAGGATCCGAGATCACATGTTTCCTCTGTTTCACACTCAGTACCCCCCACCCTTTCTGACTCTCCTGCCACCCTCTCTTCCACCCCCACCCCCATTCCGGGTCTTTGGGCATCTCCACCCCTCCATCAATTGTCAATGTTCCTCGACCGCAATCAATCAGTTATTTGTCAGCTCTTGTCAATCCGCCCGTGATTTATGTCAGCTTTTGTTGCTGATTACAAGGCGGGTGCGACTTGAAGGGGAAAAGAGAGAAGGAGAGAGACATGGAGAAGAAGGATGGGACCAAGGGGGAACCAGAGGAGAGGGAAAGAGGACTAACAGCCAGGGATGGGAGTGTGTGTGTCGGGATGGGGGATGCTTAGAAAAAGAATGAAAGAGGCACTCGGTATCAGGAAAATGGTTTGTGAGAGTTTACGCAGATGCGCCTAGGGCGCGGAGAGGAGTGCGCAGGCCAGGGGTGCCCGCGAAGCCCCTCTCTGTGTGGGAGATAGAAACACCCTTCCCACCTCTGGGGGAGCTTTGATCTATTGGGACCCTGGCGTTCTGGGCGGCTCCGGGAACTAGAGACCCGGGCGGCGACGTCTAAAACGGGAGATTTTTCCTCCCCCGGGCTAAGTCTCTCAAGGGCGTGTAGCGAGGATGTCCAGCTGCCACCCTACTGCAGAAACTACGGTCCTTTTTGCCTTCATCACAAACTCGAGAATTCTTTTGGAGAGCCACATTATCGACTTAATCTCGAGTCCTGTAGATCAATGGTGGAGTATATCCTCTGGTTCCAATTCTTTGATCCTTTCGGACACTGTCTAGTGCACAGAAGCTCAGAAGGACAAGAGAGGCCTGATCATGTGTGTGCAGTGGAGAGATACCTCTCCTCTCAGGCTCATTTAGAGTAGTCTGTCCTCGCCTCATGCAGTCCCCGCAGGCTTGCAAGTCGGGGTTACTCGGGGCTGCTCTCTCGAATTTAACGGAACGTCAAGTCGGGACTGACCTGCGCAGGAAGAGAACAGGGAAGGAGAGAGGGAGGGAGGGGGTGGCTGCCTGTGGGAACGTTGGCTCTTCCAGGGAAGCGGAGCGGGACCGCCGCGTTCCCCTCGATTTGCACCGTCACTCGGGCTGTTTGGAAGGAAAAGGGGAGGCGCTGTGCTTGCTACCGTGTACCTGGATCTGGTGCACAGTGTGTATGTATGTGTGTGACGCTGTGTGAGTTCTCAGGGCTTTGGTAGCAGTCGGAGCGAGCTCGAGCGTCACTTCTAGAAACTCGCAGAAACTGCCAGGGGGCGAGAAGAGGATCCCAAACCCCTACCTCGGAAAGACTGGGAAGAACTTTGAATTTCCCCTCCCCCACTTTTACGCCCAGGCTCTTCTTTTATTGCCAACTCTTTTTGATAAATGGTGGGACTGGGATCGCCCGGAGCTGGGATCCAGTCTTTGGCCTCGCGGGGGCCGAGGGCCGGGCCTGGAGACGGAGTTGCCACCAGCTCACATCCTGCGTTGGGCCCGGTACGCGCAGGAGCCTGGCCTGCTACCTGTCCTCCGCGTGCTCGTCTTTCTTTCCACCATCCCACCTCTCTCCCCTTCTGTCTCTGACTCCTACTCCGCACAGGTACTGAGAACTTTCTGGGGTGAGTTTTAGCATTTTCACGTAGGGTTTCTTTTTTCTGCGGGTTATCTTATTATCCCTTGATTCTTTTCAAGGGTAAACTTTATGAGATGGCAACTAAAAATATATTTGATTAAAAATAATTTGGAGAGATGAGAAGAGTGAGGCGGTATATGTGAGGGTGGTGTTTGTTCAGGAATGTGTGTGTGTGTGTGTGTGTGTGTGTGTAGGTTTAAGTAGACCACACGTGCGTTAGAGGGGGTTTGGTCTCTCCGACCACCCAGGAGGATGAACCCACTAGACAGTGTCCAGGTCACAGTTGTCTGATCTTTGAGGCGCGAGTCCCAGGTGCTGCTGGTTCCTGAGGGCGGAACAGTCCTAAACTGTCTCTTCGGGCAACGAGTCTGTGAGGCCGCTTGTATTCTGTGTGCATGGATCGATGAATGCTCGAATGTCGAGGTATGGGCCTGGACCAGCTACAGAGCTCGCAGCCCACGATGCTTAGGCCGTGTGTCGCCGCGGCCTCTCAGCCAGGCCCAGGCACTAAATGTGGCTGCGGCCAGATAGGGGCTGACAACCGCCCCGGATGGCATCCCCGCTGCCCCAGGCACAGTTTCCAGATTCAGCCAGAGACTCTTCCCCAATCCAGTAGCTTTCTTACACTCGAAGACTCGGTTCAGGCCAACAGCTCCTGCACCCAAAGCCTTGGGGAGCCTGAGAGTGCCGCGGAGTCGACACTTGCTGGTGGATCTGAGCGGCGATACGTGCCCTCGGGCCAGTTGCTCGCGTGCCGTCCGCGCTGAGCAAAACCAACTCAAAAGGTGCTTGCGCACGGGGGCGCCTGGGGACCTGCGCGCCCCGGGCTTTCGAGAGGCGCCAGCGTCCGAGTTTGCGCACCTTGTCCTGGAGGCCAAAACCTTGGGATGGCGCGGACCGTGGGGATAGGGGTTATTAATTAACCCACTCTAGGTTTAATGCCTCCTACCCCCAGCGGCGGTTGGCAGAGAAGTCCTGCGGATTTTATTTGCACACAATGGAAATGATTTGTTTTCTCTTAAAAAAGGAGTGGGTTGGCAGATATTTGAGGAGGGGGTGGGAGGAGAAGAAAGAAGGGGCAAGAGCTGAGGGAAAAAAAGTTTGAAAATGCCTTGAACTATTCACTGTGGAGATGGCTAATCAGTATTGAGGCCGGAGGGCAGGCGGGCCGCCTTTCACCGCCGCTTCCCTTTCATCTAGGGCTCGGCGGAGGCGCTCAATTAAAAGCCTATCAGTTTGTAAGTAAATCAACGCCTATCAGAGTTGTCACATCAAACAAAACGATTATTATTGCAGCCCGCCTCCCCTATTAATCTCCCTCGAAGATAATCCGCCTGACAGGTCAGGCCCGGCGAGCTGGAAAGCCTGGCCCAGAGCGCCCAAACAGTCCCGGACTGGCGCACGTCCCCGGGGGGCTTCTCCACCCCCAACCCGCCCCTCCTTGCTGTCCCGGGGGAGTGGGAAAAGAAAGAGCGTGCCGAGACTGCTGGACCTAGGCGGGACACGCCTGATGTGGAGTAGAGTCTAGAATCTCGGGGCCCTCAGCTTCTCCGAGCCCTGGAGGCGCCCGGCATGCCGCAGCCGTGGTCTGGCCTGATCCCGGGCCTCGTCCTGTCCTTCGCCTTCTCCACTCTCTTCCCCAGACTCCCTTTTTCTTGTTCTTTTTTTTTGTTTTGTTTCCTCTCCTGTTTCTTTTTTGGCTTCTTAACTTTTTTCTTCTATATTTCCTAGTCCTTTTCCCTTGTCCTGCTTGTCAAGGAGTATTTCCTATTCTTTCTCACTCCTCTCGTACCCTTTCGTTGGCAGCCACCCTTTCTAGAGCAGGGCATTCTTAAATTCCGGGTTATTTTTCCCCGCGTGAGGGCTGTCCCAGGAGTGTGTGCAATCCCCAGGAACTCAAGACAGACTCCTCCCCAAACCCCCCACCCCACCCCAAGCAGAGGCTCTCATAAACAGAGGTTCAAAGGGGTGAAGAGAAAAAGGGAAAAGGGAGAGAGACCTGGGCAGAGATGGGTGGGTAGTTAAGTTGTAAGCACCTTTTTCTGAAATTAGTATTTGGTCTTGGAATGTTCAAGATGTAATGTGGCCAACCATGCTGATGGCATTTACCTAGGCTTTGCAAATATTTGGAGGAGACCCGCGGGGCACTAGCACCTCAGTACTGAATATGTGAGGGGGTGCCTAATATTGCCTACGAAAATACAGACAGACAACTGCTTCCGTGACCTCAAACTGGCGCCCACGGACTTCTTCCGGTGGCCACCCATTTTGCACTTTGGGCCACCTTGAAACCAAGTGTGACCAGTTCCTTTCCGGTTTCTTGCTCCAGATATAGGCCTGAACGTCCCTTGCAGACACCCCTGGGGAGCTAGGATTGAGGGTGGGTAGTTGAAGGTATTGGAGTTGGAATGGCTGCTTGCATGACCCCGCCTCCTGTACCCTAGACGCTTGGTTCTGAGCCCCAAGGAGCACTTTCTGGGAGAACCCCTTAAGCAAAACAGTCCTGGTCATGGGGCGAGAGCCTGTCCTTTCATTCACGCTTGGGTCCGAGAGACAATGTATTCTGTGTACCAAATAGAGCCCATTTTAGTGTGCTCTGTGTCCGAAGATGCAGGGTCCATAGTTCACTTATCGCGTCCCCGAACCGTTTCCCACTCACACACAATTTTGCGCACTCTCCACAGTCAACCT